TAAGAAGTCAGTGCTTTTGCGGAAATTCAAGCGGCCAGTGTAGACAGCTGGCAAGTTTTTCTGAAAAAGCTGCTGATTTTCCGAAAAAACTGGCCAGTCTAGACACAGCCGAAGTGTAGTATGCTTCAATGGGAACAGAAATTCTGTGGTTAAGATCCTCTAGTTTAAAAGAGATAATCTGTGCTTCCTAGAACATACAGTAAAATCAGGATACACTATAATCCGCTCAGAAATTACAACCAAAGGCCAGTTAATGCCAAACATATTCAATACAAAAGCTGTGCTCCTCACAAAAGTAAAACATTAAAGCATTAAAAGCATGCATGGAATCTCACATTGGGCAATCCAGACCTGTCCCTCAGTCCTGTGCTAATTTCTATGAGAGGAGGATCTGACCCTCTTTGGATTCTCAGTAAGAAAGGCTTCATTTGTAGCTACACTGACATGCAATTACAGAGAGCTGAGGCAGCAGTTTTGGAGCAGCTTGCATCCAAAGAATTATGTGGAGATACAGCACCTTGCTTAGATGGTACAAACATTGTTCATAAGCATACATACTCCTCACTTCCCTTCATCCACAGATCACAAAAGACATAGTAAATATTGATCAGACCTCAGAACACCTCTCTCTGAAGTACCCTATTAGTCTTATTTTTCAGACAAATCTCTCAAAATCACCTCAAATGTTGGGTGCTTGATTTGAGACACCTCTTGCCTGATATTCAGAAATACCAACCCTGACTTCAAACAGAGTGAAAAGTGTTTACTTAGACTCATGGTTAAATACTCAAACATTAGTATGCAAAGCAATAAGACCACACTCTTCCCTATCTTGTGTGTTCCATTCAGCCAAAAAGCAACACCTGCCAATTGTTCTTTTGTATCTCTTTATTAATGAGATAATAAAAAAAGCACAGAAGCAAAGAACATACCAGTCAAAACAGCTCATTGCGCTCCTAATAAATATAATAAAAAACTAATACAAATAACAAGTGTTGAAAGACAATTCAGGGAAAATTATGATGATGCATTAATCTATCTAGGGATTAATTCTTCAAGACTAAGTAGACAAGAAAATCTGTTCATTCTTCTCTTTGGTAAATAGGCTTCATACACAACATGAATATTCGTTCCCATAAGAAACAATCTTTGTCCTAGCCCAATGGTAAATTCCATAAAGCTTCACATCTACATTTCTGGCATTACAGTGGTTTCCAGATTAGCAGATTGTGATGCTTTATAAAGATTCCAGTATTCTATAGTAATGCTCCCAGACTGTTCCCAAAACATGACTGTAAATTGTAGGGTTTGGGACCATACGCTGCAGGATTCCACAATTTAAAATGAAAGAAACAGGCTGGAGTGGGGCGTGGATGAGGATGAGTATTTGCAAAGGAAACAAAATGGGGGGAAGGGTTGAGCTGGAGGTTGTGAATGTGCTGCATTTTACCATACACCGACTTTTTAGTGTGTCTGTGGAAACAGCGCCTTCTTTAACATTAATTGTTCATTTATTAAAGAAAAAAATCAAGCCAGCTAGTAAGGAAAATAAAGTTGAACTGAGCTGCTAACAGTTCCCCAGAGGGAGTGGGAAGTGATTAGTGAGTTAAATGGCTACATTGTTAACAATTGCCACATAGAGTAGCTTATGTTGTAAAATCCATTTTTCCCTGCCAATTTACTAATGACAATATCTGCTAGTAAATGCCCTAAATCTCTCTCTAGCCTCTCCTCTTTGTACTTCCTCCACATACTCTATGTTGTTTTGGTTTTATGACCTGGCATCAATCTTCACAAACATCCACTTCATCCATGCCCAAATGCTTAAGAGCTCCGCTACAGGGAAGCAAGGTAAAGGGAAGGACATCAGCGATACAGTCAGAGAAACAATAATGTCATGTTAATGTGGTCCTTGTGTCCAAGGGAGCAATCCCCGTGCAACCTATTGTCTCAGGTTCCCCTCAATGTTATTTCATGGATGTAGGATTTCCACAAGCAGTAAAATGAGTACAAAGAGCACATGAAAGGCTAAGTCCACATGTCAAAAAAGAGGTGCTGTGCACACACATGTATTATAAGGGGAAGTATTTCCCCAGAAGGAAAGTCCCTTATCTTTTGAAATGAGGATCAGCCGTTGCTAGATGTACTTGGAATTTTATGGCTGTGTATTCTAGGGGAAAGTAGATAAACTTAATTTGAATTATAACCTACAGCAAGGAGTTTTAAAGCCTTAAGAGCAGATCTGCAGTGTTATAAATAAAATATGCTGGAAATTGTGTGGAACTAAAATAATTGGTGAGAGAAGAGGAGGGATGGAAAATGTTACAAAAAGCACAAACTCTACAGTTGTGTTAAGAAGAGCCAAAGGGATTAAAAAGGTCCCCCGATATCAAACAAGCAGTGCAAGCAGGAAACCAGTGCCAATTTGTTATATTTTCACCAGTATTTGATACCAATTTTATTGTACAGCACTGGAAAGTAAGTGGGAAAAGTAGAAAGGGATTCGATGTTGTTTTGTTTTCAACACTGAACTCTTGGCTTCCCCCTTTCTACATATGTTACCACACACGGGGGGGGGGAGCCAATTTCTTGCCCGATGACTTCAGAACGTTTAACAAAAGGCTGCTGAATAAACACATTAGGCATTAAAAACAGTTCAATCGCTAGTAGTCAAAAGGTATTTGCATCTTAATAGTTATGGAGACAGCACCATCTGATGGAAGACAAAACAAGTGCATTGGCTACAACCGAGGGAATCTTTCAAACAACGTGGTACTTAATTGAAATCCAACAGAGGTGCAGGGTGCGTGGACATTCTGCCTACTTGCGTTTATCATCAGACTATTAGCCGTGCAAATTGGTTACAGGGCATTAAGAACTCAGCTGTCAAGTGTAATCTAAAATAGTGACAACACTTCCCACATAACCTCAATTAAAGAAGTGGCTCAGCAGCCACATTGATATGTACAAATAAGATCATTTTATCGTGCTAAATAGGAAGTCAGGCATTAAAGTGAGAGGTGAAAGTTGACATTAAAATCAGGCAGCTCAAACACCAGCTCTCTCTCTTAGCGAACAGCGATAATGGAATATTCCCACCCTGGGTTGGAAAGGATTAGCCATTTGCTTTCACTGCACTTGCATTTACTCTACGCCTTTTATGCCATCACTTATCCGCTCCCATACTCACGTCTCCCTTGCACGAAAAAGTTCGCAATTTTACTTAAAGATCGGTGTTTTTCTAAGTGTGCAAGCTAAGTGATCCATCAAAAGGGAACAAGTCCTATAGGTCCTGAAATCACATTCAGAACAGGCATTAGAAACTGGCTTTTTTTTTTACAGACCACCATGAGTTTCATGTATAGTTTTACTCAGGAAGGGAGCTATTTAACAAGATTGTAATTCCCAATGGGTTTGTTAATAAATCCGATAACATGTGCTGTTGCCTAGCAATCCAACCATAAATTGATTATTAAACAGCATTGGACTGACTGCAGCCTGTACTTCTCAGGGTGGAATGGGTGCTCTTTTACAGACTCCCCCCTCCTCACGCTAACTTTCTTTTAAACGGGTTCGCAGTGGAAACATTACAGCTAAACACATGGAGCTGATTGCATGGTAGCCTTTTGCTGAGCTGCCCAGTGTGCGTATCTAATAGACGCGGGGTAAAAGACATTTGATGTCTCTTAGCTTGTGAATTCCGCCCCATGTCCGGAGCCCCAGACTCAAGGTTCTGAGCAACACCGCTGAAAGCACGGAATGAAAATTAAGCCTCAATGGGCGAAATGTATCACAGCCAGCCCACAACAGCAATCGGGAGCGGGGATGCTGGTTTTACTCCTCCTAAACATTCAGGCAGAAGATGCTGGGAAAGGGAGGAAACGGTGGCGGGTGTTTGATTTTGGATTGTGTTTGTTTTAAAGATTTGCTAATTGAAGCAAAAAAAACTGATTCCACGTCTCAGACAAAGAGATAAGAGGGAAAGCAGGAATCAACCCCCCTCCCCCATCCTCCCTTTGATCCATCTGGGGCAGAAAACTGGCTCAATGGACACCTGTCCTCTGAAGGAATCCCAGCTACAACCAGGGAACTAGTGGCCGGGGGGGATAAGAGAGAACTAGACGGCTGCTCTTAAGCGACATACAGTCTCTGATCTAAGACAGCTACACCAGACTAACACGGCTACATTTCTATCACTGGTCTAAGACAGGTTCCCTAAAGATTAAAATAACCAAGTGCGAAAAGAAGTCAAAGTATCTCAGCCATCCAGAGAAAGTCATCCACATCCTGGGAGGGCAGAGGGGAAAAGCTGCCAGTGAAGTTCTAATAAGTATTGCTCAACTTTGGTTTAAAGGTACAGTAGTGATTTACAGCGAGGTGGCACATTTATTCCCAGGCTCACCCCTGCCTTTGATTCACAACAACTGTTTACTATAAAAAGGACTCGGCTGCCTTGACTCCAAGAATGAAAGGGATGCTTTCATTTCACACAGCCACAACTTTTAAAGAAACACAACCCTCCCCGGGAGAAAAAAAATATACATGTATATAAACCGCACATCTCCTGTGGAGGGAAGCAAACAAACCGAGCCGAGACAAACATCTTTTGGAAGGACATTTAATAGGATTGCTCTTTTCCTTGCCCTGGGCTTTGAGGGGACAAATCTATTCTTTCCAGCCTAAGATCCTTCAGAAAAAGCTTGAGGTGAAGAAGGTAGGAGAAAGGGTAGGGCAGATCTCACATAATTCAATGCATTGCATCCGGCTCGCCTCTGGCTTTTGTATTTAACCCGCCACACCGACGAGCAAAACAGGCAAATCCCTGCACAAAGGCAAACTTAGCGCCGGGCAGAATGGACGTACAACCCAGCCCCAACTAGACACATTGCAGCGTATTGCCATTGCCACCCCCTTATTGCTGGCTCGCGCTCTGCCCGCGGGAAGTTGGACGCCGTCGCGAAGGGTTTGCTAGCGAGCAAGTGGAGAATGGATGAACTCACCTGCGAAGACCTGCCCCTCTGCTTTTTGCAACAGCTGCACCAGAAAGACAATCGTGGCAATCCTGTTCATTCTCTATTGGAGTCCACCTGCCCTTCCCGCGGTAGAGGTGCAGCTGTCTGTCTGGGTGCCCCGCCAATAGCCCCTGCATTGGTACATCAGAGAGTTGGGGCTGTATCTCCGAGCTGGAGCTGCTACCCTGATCTGATGAGTAGCACAAACTGATTGAGGCAGGGGGAGGGGGAAGAGAGGCAGAGACAGAGATTTCCCCTGAGTCCTAACGCCTGCCTTTTCCTCTCCTTCCTCAGACAGCCCCGCACCGTCACCACCCAGACTTCGGCTGCCGAAGCTAACCCCGTCTGCGCTCCAGCCTCTTGCTCGGCTCGAGCGGTGCTCGCAGGGAAATCGGTCTGGTTAAGCACCCTCTACCGAAGGCAGAGAATCCCGCTCCTGCCCTGCCTCGGGATTAGGAATTGCAAAGTAAACCCAGAGCAGGAGGAACCGGGGGGGAGGGGAGGAGAATTGCTCCGAATTAAGCTGCCTTCTCACTCCCCGTTTGATCCTTCTGGCTGCGCAGCCAGGTCCTGTTTGCAGGGACTTGGGGACATGTTGGGTTAAGCACCCTCTACCGAAGGCAGAGAATCCCGCTCCTGCCCTGCCTCGGGATTAGGAATTGCAAAGTAAACCCAGAGCAGGAGGAACCGGGGGGGAGGGGAGGAGAATTGCTCCGAATTAAGCTGCCTTCTCACTCCCCGTTTGATCCTTCTGGCTGCGCAGCCAGGTCCTGTTTGCAGGGACTTGGGGACATGTTGCAAGCAACCGAGGCTTCCTGCTCTTGCCCTCTTTCCGGGGGTGGGGGGAGCCAGTGCACAGCATCTGGCCGGAGCTTGGCCTGTGGTCAGCCGGGAAGGCAAGCGAGGAAGGGACCACTGCTAGGTCGAGCCAAGGGGGCAAAACAGCAGGTTTCCGGGGGCCCATGATTCGGTCCGCTTGTGTGAACGGCCCACGGGCGTTTTCGGCGGAAAACAGTAATTCCGTCCTTAGTCACTTAACTGGGGACAGGCTTGGCCGCCAAGCCCCGAATCGCACCCCGCCCTGCTGCACGCACCTTGCCGCCCAGTCTCCTTCCTAGCGGGAGAGGAGACGAGGAGCAGGCTCCTGCTAACCTGCCGTCCAGGCGGAGACCTCAGAGCCACGCGGCTCTTGATGCCCCTCTGACCGCGGACAGGCAGAGCAAACGAGCGCCCCTGGACTCAAGCTCGCAGGCAAGCAGCCAAGAGGCGGTGCCACTCCACGGACAACCAGTAGGGGGCAGAATTGCATCAATAGTGACACAGCTCTCCATCGCCTCTCCCCTCCCCAAGCCCTCTCACTTGCAGGCCACCCGGAGAGGATTGCAGGGTCGAGCCAGGGACCTAGATGAACAGCACGGGGGTCCCATCGCCTCCGCGGACTGCACCGCATCCTCCCCTGGGAGCACAGGGAGCACAGAATCACATGGAAACTGGTGAACGTGTAAAGCGCTGGACGCACATTTCTGATGCAGGGTGTAGTAAGGAAGGGGGGTGTCTGTGGCTGAGTCACATACTGGACCTGGGGTTTTAAAAAAGGTTCTGGACACTTAGGCTGTGTCTACACTACAAAGAAAAGTCAGAAAAAGACCCCCTTTTCTTCCAAAAGAGGCTTTTCTGACATTTGGCCTGTCTACACAGGGTCAAATGTTGGGGAAAAAACCTTTTGGAACATCCCTTCTGCCTGCAGAGTAAGCTTTACAGGGATGCCGAAAAAACGGGTCTGCTTTTCTGCAATTTTTTAGTAGTCTAGATATACCCTTCCACGAGGACTCCTGTTGGAAGCTTGTTCATTGGAAGAGAAACATCCTGCCCTTGAAGAAGGCCCCTGGAGGGGTAGGAGGGGGGTGAAGTAGAGAGCCCTCCACTGCTGCAAAGCATGATGGAAGAAGGGGGGCAGGCAGCAGGAGCATAGACTTTGCTGTTATGAAAATGAACCACCCATCCTGCAGTTTATCTTGTTCTTGACTATAGCAAGAGCTGGACAATGAACAGGAAAAATATTTCCAATTGCAACTCAGTGGCAGAATGCCTCATCTCTCCCTCCACTAGTTGGTGCAAACAACAGCTAGGCGGAGAGCCTATTCTTGCTAATAGCTAATGGAGATAATATTTTGTCTCCAAGCACAGGGTGCTGGAACAATTTGTATAATGCAGATGCTGAGAGCCATTGAACCAAACAGCCCTGTATATAATGGAAACCACTTCAAGCCAAAGGATTCACCCCTAGTCTCAGCAACCATGCCAAGGTTCATACTTTTGGCACTGAAAGTTCCAATTCCAAGCTGGTTGACACTCCATATTGGTGTGACTGCACAAATATTCCAGAGATGATGTTGTGACAGATATGGCATTTTCCTGCAGTATCTTTGGGAGACTTTATTGTATTGCTGTGTGCCAGAGACTATAGGAAAGACAAGAGGTGCGGGGAAGGGGAAGGTGAGGTAATATCTTTTATGAGACCAACTTCTGCTGGACAAACTTTTGAGCTACACAGAGCTCTTCTTCTTCCATGTAATTTCATGAGTGGAAGTCTGATCACAGCTCCTTTCGGAACTAAGAAGGGGGGGGGGAGTGGTTAGCAAATTCACCCAGATTGTAACAGCTCCAACACCATCTGGAGAGGCTCACATATACTAATTAAAACTGGACAGTCTAGAGAGCAACAGACCAAAAAAGGACTTTTAGACAAACAGTCTGAGTTTAAAAAGACTCAGGAATCAGGGTTAGGGTTGCCAACCCACCCAGGATTGTCCTGAAGTCTCTGTGATTTAAAGATTAATTGGTGTCCGTAGCCTCTGTTTTCCAGAAGCTCAGAATGGGCAACAAAGATGGATCACTTGATGGTTACTTATTCTGTTCATTCCCTCTGGGTATCTGGCACTGGCAACTGTTAGACTTGATGGCTCTTTGGTCTGACCCAGTATTGTTATTCTTATGTTCATTAAATATTGTCATATGAAGCAACCTCCAGGAGTACGTCCAACCAAAAATAATGTTAAACAAGATGTGCTTTGTTATTATCCCCCTCCACCCACTGTCCCTCTTCAGAGCAATGGATCCTCTCAAAAGCAGCAGACTTTGCATTTTTTGGGAACCAGAGAAAAGGTGCCCTCATTTCATCATGACAATGAGTTTTATTCTTGATACTTTTGAATATCAAAGCATGTGTTAGACTCATCATTGACCTTCAGACCCTCAACAAGTAGCTCAAGGAGAGGAAGTTCTGCATGGTCAGCAAAGTGGTACACTGCCCTTGTCTTGGAACTCAAAGGGATAGTGAGCTTGCCTGAGCAAAGGGAGAACATGAGCAGGTGGACATGGGGTAAGTCCCTAAGGGAAGCCACTTCAAAGAGCACTAGGAGCAGAAGGGGGCAGATTCAAGGGCAGAATTAGATAGTACTTTTTTTCCTCTCCTTTACCATGCCTCTTTGAACAACAAGAGATAAAATCAGTCCCCTCTAGCTCAAACTTCAACTTTTCCTCTTTGTAGTGATTATTTGCTATATATTATTCTGCCACTATCAGCTGCTCAGGACAGAACTCAGATCAGGTGTATGGTGCTTGGTGCATAAGAAAGACAAAGCTTTCTCAAGTTGTGCGGAAATCTGTTTGCGTATAGTTACAGCTATTTTCCTTAGTAAAGACCAGCTTACAATGCACTGTGATTCTATCAGTCATGCCTCTGTTCTGAGGTTGCAAAACGCTTATATGAAGTAATGGACATTTAAATAGTTACAGTGAATGTCTAGGCCCAGTTATAGCTGAATAGATTCTAAACTTCCACATCATTTAGAAAATGTTTTTACAGAGACCCTCTCAAATATTATCAGGCAGATTTGTCCCACATTAATACAGCTTTAGATTAAGTAGGAAAATTTTAATACTCCCATTTTCTCAATTTGCATTTTCCTCATTTTGAAGGAAACACGCCATGATGTCAATTTCATGTTTAGGTACATAATGCTGCAAGGCAATTGTTTAATCATTTAAGAACAGTTATGCTCATTGGAATTTGTAAATAGTTACATTTCATTGGTATTGTGCTTTAGACTTAAAAAGAAATAACCCTTCATTTTGACAAACCTAACAGTATTTCCTTATCTAGTCTTTACAATTAAATAACATTTTTTACCTCATTTCAGTAACCCCATCCTGGTCAGGCAGTTGTTTTTAAAGGCCTGATAGGCGTGATAGGGGCTCTTGTACATTTCAAGAGCCCCTATTAGGGCGCTTGTACATTTCACAGGAGGAATGCGGAACTCCACATACAGCCTGGGGCCAGCGGGAGGTCCCTCTGACTCTGACCTGTACGTGAGTACCTACTCACAGTCCCCCATTGACCCCAGGCTCCATGCTATGGGCTCCCCTACTCCTTTGAATTGGGGGGAGGCGGCAGTTTCAAAGGGGTAGCAGCCACACAGCTGATCAGCTGTGCGGTGGCTTCCCCTTTGAAACTGCTGCCTCCATGCAATTCAGAGGGGAGGCAGGGAATCCTGGGCTCAGCTGGGGACTCCCCAGCCCTCTCCAATTGGAAAACTGACCATTTATTTCTACCCTTTGTTTCCTGTCTTTTGACCAGTTATCAGTCCATGAAAGGACCTTCCCTTTTATCCCATGACAACTTAATTTACATAAGAGCCTTTGGGGAGGGTCCTTCTTAAAGGCTTGCTGGAAATCTAAGTACACTATGTCCACTAGATCGTGTTTGTTGACCCTCTCAAAGAACTAGCAGATTAGTAAATTGTAGTAGGTGCTGTAGATATGGCCAGTAAGAGACCATTCCTGTCCCAACAATTTTACAATCTAACATGACAATAAACAAAGGAAGTATTATCACCATTTTTCAGAAAATTTTTCACTGAGGACCTGAGAAGGATTAAGGCCCAAATCTATTAATACTTATAAGTTTTTAACTAAGTATGTTGTCAGTGACATTGAAATCCTTGAGCGCTTGTTCCAAGTCACACAGAATGTTTGGAGGAAAATGAAGATTTGAACTCTGTTCCATGTCCATGCCTAAAGGGAAGCCCATTCTTCTTTTCAGTCCCTTTTTCTTTAGAATCTTGGTCTATGGACTTCAAAAAAGTCACTCAAAGTGTCTCTATTTCCTTCCTCCCCTGTCCCCCATGCCCGTTGCAATTGTAACCCCCATACACCTATGGGGTATGGTTCACTTTATAGATTAAGCTACAGAGCTTCCTATACTAAGCTCCAGAAGTCCCAGGTTGAGTTCTACCTGCAGGTGGTTAGATGCTTTCCCCATGATTTCTCCAATTCTTCACACTGCCCTTATGTAGCTGTTCTGTAACAATAGAAAGTAGAATTGACTGACATGTGCCCAGGCAATGATCTGATTTTAAATAACCAAGTCTTCATGCATAAATTAAGGCCCATGCA